TAAGTAGGTGAAAAGTAGAGTTATAAGTACCCCCAAAAGGATCCTGATTCAAAGTAGAATTATACGTATCCTAAAAAGGATCCTAGTTTAAAGTAGAGTTATAAGCATCCTGAAAAGGATCCTAGTTTAGTTGGGGTTATGATACCTATAAGTCTATAAAAATAACTAGCTACTAAGTCCCCCGACCCTCCAAGTCGCGTAGAAGGTCTACCGTTTCGGATCCAAGGTGCCTGGTACAGCGATTAGGGGGGTAAGGTTTAGGGCTTCGGGTTTAGTTTAGGGTTTAGGCGGCTTAGGGTTCAGGGTTTAGGCGGTTTGGGGTTTAGGGTTTAGGGGTACAGGCTTTGGGGTGGAAGGCAGAGAGTATTACGGTATAACATACTTGGCTTACTTCTGAACCCCTCCTAGAAGTTAAACTTGTAGTCTCCTAGTGCATATAGAAACCCCAAACTTAAAGTCCTAGGTCCTAAAGCCAACAATAAGAATAATGTCAAATATAGGGAGAAGTCTGTAGAGACGGTTGATGAAAAAACCTGCATGACCCATAATAAGGAACAAACCAGAATTCCCATAGTTTAGGGTCCTTAAGGTAATGCAGGGTTTATATCATCAACCTAAACCCTAAACCCTAAACCCTAAACCCTAAGCCCTAAGCCTCGTCACAGGAGAAGAGCCGAAGCGCGGCACGCACCCAGTGGACGTTGCAGGCTCCCATGGCTGCTCAAGCAGAGACCATCAAACCTAAACTGAGGTAGGGGCCCAAAAATAATTACCAATACTATTTTGGTGGTTCCTTAAAACCCTATTAAAATTATAAAGGCCCCTATGTTAAGCTAAACTAACTCTGCCTGACGCTGCCCCCAGAATTTTCAGCATCCTTCTTCTTCGGGGTGCTCTGGCACGGATCACTACTAGAATCTAGGGAGCATTCCTCAATTCCCAGATGTTGGAATTAAACCCTCAGCCGTTTCTGGGTCGGATGAAGACCCCGCTTCACGGGTATTCTGGGATGGATACACCGTGGAACGGGCGTTCTGCGGCAAAGAGTCGTGTGCTCTTTTCTACATCGTTAAATGACACCACTATGACCTAATCATATGACACAACAACACACTTATCCACATAACCAAAAACACGAATCTTATTATTAAAGCTCTATAAACAGCCGCGAAGGATTTTGCAAGAATCTCAGCGTTCTCTTGAGCAAGGGTCACGTTTTAGGGATGTCTGCTGTCATGAACATTGAATCGTCATATATGTAGTCCCACATTATGACATTGGATGGTGCACACCGAGAGCCATTAGAGTCCCACGCTGCCTGGTGACCCAGACCCCAAACCCCAAACCCTAAACCCTAAACCCCAAACCCTAAACCCCAAACCCTAAACCCCAAACCCTAAACCCTAAACCCTAAACTGCAGCCGCAAACCCCAAACCCTGAACCCTAAACTGCAGCCCCAAACCCCAAACCCTGAACCCTAAGCTGCAGCCCCAAACCACAAGCCCGTGATCCGAAGCCCTGAAACCAAGGCTCGAAACCTTAAAGCCTTAAGCTCGACCTCAACCCCTAACAACCTACGCTTTTAAGGACTTACAGAAAGAAATCATAATACGGAGCCCATAAAAAAAAAGATTACCGACGCTTTTAAGGACTTCTGTAAAGAAATCTTAATGCGGAACCCGGTTTAGGGTTTAGGGTTTGGTAGTTTGGGGTCCAGGTAACCCAAAGCCCCAAAACTTGTCGAAGCGGCTGAACGTCCCAAAAAGCCTGGCGCAGCAGGGCTCGCACTGGGTGCCCGTGTGGTCAGAGACAGAAAACTGACAAATCCAGCGCACCGATGGCTCCTTGTCAGGGATTCGGCTTAGGGTTTAAGGTTTCGGGCGTAGGGTTCAGGGTTTATGGGTTCACGGTTCGGGGATTCGGCTTCAGGGTGTTCAAACTTCAGTTAGTTGGGCTTAGGGTGTAGAACGTAGAAGCCTAGACTTCGGGGTTAAGGGTCCATGGCTTAGGGGTTTAGGATTTAGAAGTTTAGACTTCAGGATTTAGGCTTTAGGCTTGAGGGTGCTTCGCGACCGCAGGGTCTAGACTTCAGGATACGAGGTCTTGCCCTGCAGTCACCTTTGCATCAACAGAAAGTGCAGAAACTGTCGCAGAGTCCTTGTTGTCATCTTGGTTCGGGGGTAGCCCTAAACCCTAAACCCTAAACCCTAAACCCTAAAACCCTAGACCCTAAACCGTTTAGAGTTTAGGGTTTAGGGTTTTCTGCAGCTTGAAATAGCGCTGCAGATCCAGCTCCTCTAGGATCTTTCATTTTGCCTTACGACTTGCTATTATCTGGTTTAGGGCTTAGGGTCTAGGGTTTAGGGTTTAGGGTCTAGGGTTTAGGGTTTAGGGTTTAGGGTTTTAGGGTTTAGGGTTTAGGGTTTAGGGTTTATCTGCTTGGGAAAGTCCGAGCTGAAGGCAACACAGATTCACAGAACATTTCGGATTGGTGCTTCCGCAAACTTGGGCTTATGGCTTGGGCTTAAGAGTCTCGGGTGACCCAACTCTTGTACCATAGCCTACATAAGGAACAAGCAGGACCCTAATACACCTACACAACTCCCTCGTTGTAGCTGTGATTGTTGCGGCAAGCGCGACTTATCTAAGGTTTGATCGAGAAGAACTTACTCATACTGACCCTAAACCCTAAACCCTAAACCTTGCATACTCACAGCTCTGGAGCTATGAGCAGTCAAACATACATCAACAGATAGCCTTGTGACCTTGTGTGCCAGAGATCAGGAAAACCGCAAAACACCACCCTGCCCCTGAAACCCTGAACCCTATCCCTAAGCCCCTAAGCCCCTAAACCCTGAACCTAAGCCCTAAACCCTACACAGAGTTTAAGCTCGAGGCATCAAGATACCCTCTGACAGCAACGATCCGAAACCCTTAGAGACTCCCGCTTCGAGCCCTGTTTGATCCAGTACTGAAGCCTCACACGCGGGTTTAGGGTTTATGGCCTAGGGTTTAGAGGGTTTAGGGGGTTTAGGGGGTTTAGGGTTTAGGGTTTGGGGCCTAGGGTTTAGGACGTTTTTTGGAGCCCTTACATAAATCCCTCTACCCTCCCTCTAAGGTGGGCCAACCTGGCAGCAGTGGCCGGCGGCGCAGGTCCAGCAGTTGTCCCCCGGCTCAAGCTGCGGCCGCTTCTTCGTGAGGGTTGAGGGTTTTGGATTTAGGGGTTTAGGGTTTGGGGTTTGGGGTTTGGGGCTTGGGGTTTAGGGTTTAGGGTTTGGGGGTTTAGGGTTTGGGGTTTAGGGTTTGCGGTTTAGGGTTTAAGTGTGTCAGGATTTGGGCTT